TGCGCCCACATACATAAATGGTTTTCAGTTAGTAAATAAATACTAACTGAAAAGTATTTACTTACTTGCTGTCATATCAGTATGACATAATATACTGATATTTGTGTCATAATAACTCAAACCTTTAAATAAAATGCTGTTAGAAAAAATGTATATTTCATCATTTCAAATATTTATTATTCAGGCAAACAAGAAATGAAATAGCCTGATAACATTTTTGTTCAATTTCACTTTTCCAAGTAATATTTTAAACAAGGAAAAATGCTATAAAATTGCAAATTGTTGAAGAAACCACGGACGGGACTTTGAGATGTCAAATGGTCTTTTCATCATCCTGTTTAGCACGCTCATTACATGTACAGCTATTAAACTCTACTCCACATATATACAAAAATAAATCTGCTATCGTTGTGATCTGGCATCATTAAGCCTAAAAAGGTTCTATTGGATCAAATTAAAAAATTGTGACAGTTAAAAGATTGAATATTGAATTCAGCTCTCAGATCGACCTTCAAGCTGTAAAACTCAAAAAATTATTTTACACTTAACTAACTTAAGCTAACTCCGTTGTCATATCTCTACTCAACAGTTCCGTTAGTTTGTGCATTATCACATAACTTTATTTAGTCCCTGACGAGCAGTGATAGTTGTTGAAGACAATTCTTAGATTGTTCAATTTAGAAGAACTTATTTGTCCCTTAAAATAACGAGTAATTTCAAAAGCTGACTTTTGTAGCTATTGTTGACATGCGGCGCCGCGCCTAAGAAAAGCCTTTCAAACGTTAGCAGCAGTTGCTAAGCTAACTAAGCGTGGCGCTAACTGTTAAAAAGGCGAACAGTCAAACGCGTCGGTTGCCTTGAATTAAAAGTTTAAGCTATGTTTACACGTGTTTACCCTCCAGTGGGTTTAGTTAAGTCTTCGGACGTTTTTAATGTTAAATGAAGTTTGTGTGGCTGTTACTACCTGAGGCTGATCTCTGATTCCGCCATCTTCACCTCGGCCCTGTGATTGGTCGGTGAGAGTTGGTCCGTCACGTCAAACTCTTCTTCTGGAGCCGTCGTTCAAGGTCAGAATTGCTCTTGTGCCACCTTCTGGAAGGAGCTTGTTAAGTCAAGTCAAAGCCTCCCCCCGTTATTTTTCGCACGATTTCATAATATGAACTCAGTGATAAAACACATTTTTACCGAGAGCTTTCAAAGAAAGCAATATTCCATCTTAATTTCAAGATCCTCGGTTACTTTGCAGATGTATAATGTATTTTAGAACGACATATAAGTTTTGAATAAACACACATTTTGAAATCGTTTTTAAGTTAGAAAATGTATTATTATTATTATTATTATTATTATTATTATTATTATTATTATTATTATTATTATTATTATATTACAGCAAATAAAACTGTTAATTTCAGTCTTTTTATGACCGCTGTGGTGACGATACCACGTGACCATGCTGTCAAACATGGCCCCTTCCTGCAAGCTGTGAGAGGAGCGACAGCTGACAAAGCCAACAGGTTTACACAGAAACGGCGGCAGCTTGTCCCGTCAGAACGCACGTTCGTCCAGTTATAGCTGCATCTACGTGGTGGGTACTCTTGTATGTCTTTATCGGTGTGGGTTTCCCTTCTGTCGGTGCTCAGCTGGGTTTTAGTGTTAGCTCTGTGACACTGAAGGCAGCATCCTGTCTTTAAGCCCGTCGCCTCTTTTCTGCCAGAATGCAAGAATTTCTGTAGGCCGTGTTTTTCATTTTTGGATCTATCTGCAAAGGAATAGCGATCATCTGTCAAAAAAAAAAAAAAAAAAAGAAAGGACAGCTGATCTGTGGTTGCTTGTCACCCCGACTTCCACGCCCACGGGAGCAAAGGTTGCAGCTGGTGTGGATAGATCACCCGTGTCTTTCCACACACCAGACTGAGCATGTTTCTACGCGCGATTTTTCACACTGACTATATTTCGTTGGTTTTGCAAGAGTTCAATATCCCGTTTGAACTGGGAAAATGATTTTACAATCTTGAATACAGTGATTGACTTTTATGACGCTGCATTCTTCAGTTGATTTGTTGATGCATTTATTTTTTTGTTTTTATCTTTGCAGCATGGAAAACATACCTGCCACACGATGAAGAACGCCTTCAAAAGGAAGTGACGAGGTGTCCCGTTCTGCTTCAGACCCATCTGTTCAGATCGATCTCTCCATCCTTCTTTGGCCTCATCCTCCCTGACGCCATGCAGGTGAACCCAGTTTACGTGGAGTCCGTCGTGGTCTTGGCTGTGGTGCTTTGTGTCCACATGGCAATCTGGAACCAGCACTCCTGGTGCAGCATAGCTCTCGTCGTTCAGGCTTTCTACGTCCAGCACAAATGGGACCGTCTGCTCAAGTCGGGAGCTGCCGTGTTCCAGTTTCGCCTGTCAGCCAACAGTGGCATCGTTCCCGCTTCCATGGTGATGCCTCTGATGGGCCTGGTGCTGAGAGAAAAGTGCTCTGCCTCAGGGAATGTCTACTTCGAACGGTTCTCCATGGTGATCACCATCACAGGCATGATGCTGGCGCTGTTCCTCTCCCTGATTGCGCTGGGTGTTACAAGACCCGTCCCAACCAACACTTGCATTATCGCGGGGCTGGCCGGCAGCGCAATCCTCTACACGACAAAGCAGACCCTGACGGTGTCGGAGGTCATCGAGGTTCTAGAGGTGTTGTTGATCTTGTGTATCTCTGTTTGATTATGCTTTACCTGCTGCCACGCTGCTTCACGCCCGGAGAGGCCCTCCTCATCGTCGGTGGAGTCAGTTTCATCTTGAACCAGCTCATCAAGCGCTCGCTGAACCTGGCAGAGGTCAAAGGTGACCCAGTGAACTACTTCCTGCCGGTGGTGGTGGTGGGTTCACTGCTGTTGGGTGTTTTCTTCGCCCTGCTCTTCTGCTTCATGGAGTCTGAGACTTGGGTGTCCTCCCTATTCTTTCATATGATGACAGCCGTTCTGGTTCTGGGTATCCTGATGCCATGGTTGTCGCTGTTCATCGGCCGCCACCCCATCATGTGGCTTTTGGACTTTATCACCCTGAATGACAGAAGACTCTGTTTGCTGGGGTATTGGGTGCTTTTGGCAATCGTCGCAACTTGTGTCGTGCTACATCAGAACTATCAGCGCCAGTCGGGATCCAAGAAGCACCAGGCCTCTACCGTTGTCAGGAAGTATTTCCACCTGATAGTAGTGGCCACCTATGTTCCAGGACTGATTTACGACAAACAGCTGCTACACGTGGCTTCTGTCGGATGCCTGGCAGTTTTCCTGTTGCTGGAGTATGTCCGTTACTTTCGCATCCTGCCTTTCGGCCAGCTGCTCAGGCAACTTCTCACCTTGTTCCTGGATGAAAGAGACTCTGGCCCTCTCATTCTCACTCACATTTATCTGCTGCTGGGCATGTCTCTGCCCATTTGGCTGTTTCCTGGACCCTGTGCTCCCAAGGGGATCCTCACTGGGGCTGGGGGTTTGGTACCTTATGCGGGCGTGCTGGCTGTGGGAGTCGGAGACACCGTTGCGTCTGTCTTTGGCAGCACCATGGGAGAGATCCGTTGGCCTGGCACCAGAAAAACCTTGGAAGGGACCGCAACGTCCGTGTTTGCCCAGATCATCGCCGTGGCGATGTTCCTCATCTTTGATGGAAGCATCAATCTGAACTCTACCTACTCATGGATTGTTGGCTCCATCACCCTTGTGGCTCTGCTGGAAGCCTACACCTCTCAGATTGACAATCTTTTGCTGCCGCTCTACCTCTTCATCCTGCTGTTGCTTTAAATGAACAGACGGCAAAACAGAAACATTTCCTATCTGTCTGTACTCGAGTGTCTCCCGTGGCAAAGTGAAATTGTGAATGAAATGTCTTAAAGAAAAGCAAGTAACAGAAGCCCTTTAGGATTCAGCAGACAGGGGGACGAAAAGATAGAACGTCTCTGCACAAAAAAAAAAAAATCTGCTAAAATCTTGATCTCTCCAAAAACTGATGTTGCACACATAAAGTCTGTCACTGTACACCTTCATGTTGCAATAAGGAGATCTATAGCAGGTTATAAAAAAACATGAGCTCAGTGTCAGTGGTGGTGTACATTTCTGTCCTGCCTCTGAAGAAACTCAACCACTGACGACTATAACTCTTAAATTATGCAAATTGAGTTTAGCACATTGGGAATGAATTAGTTTAGTCCCATATGGAACTCCTATGTATTGTTTAGATTTTTGATATCTTTTTTTGTACAATCAACACATTTTCGTGCATTGCCTTGGAAGAACATCATTTAAAGTTTTCTCTCTTTGTCAATCTTCTTGTTCTTTGATTGTCAGTCTTGATTCCCCCCATGGCAATATAAAGGACTGCCCGCTATGCTAACATGCCTTAAAATGTGTATTTTTTCTAGCAGGTGATCACTTATTGTAGAAGTTGTAGATAAAAGCATGGCAGTCCAACTCAACTTCTTTGTATAAGGGCTCGCTCTCCTTGTGATTCTGCATGACACTGATGTGAACTCTAGTACTGCAGCATATTTATATTTATATGCAGCTTTCCTCAGCTACGATTTTGCTATAAATGTTTGCTTTGCTCTGTGTGCTTGTGGTTTAACTGGACCATTCCTTGTTAAACTGATCATTTAAACTATTATGATTATGATGATGAATCGGTATGTTTTGGGTCAAACTATGAGCAGACTCCCTGAGATTTAATTTAAGATGCTTTGTAGACTTGACCTCAAATGTCATTATGTTGGACTTCATCCTTTATACACAAAAAATACTTTAATTTATTGTCTGATCTTTGATTTCAGTGTCGATTGGCGTTATTTTATATGTGTATATCTTTAAGTTGTGACGTGTTTTGGAATAATATGCTGTTATCCTCGTAATTCTTTCCTTTTTCTGTATCATTGCATGATCTGCGCATCATGGCCGATGCTCGCTAAGCCTCCTGCGTGAATGAATGACCATACTACAAAAACACAAAAATTAACTTTCTCATTTGTAATTTAATTCTTAATAAAAATGTTTCTATGTTTGTGTTAAAACTCATTTGGCCTTGAAGTTTAATAAGTCAGGCTGAATCTTAAAATGGACATCTGTTGGAATGCTTAGACTTTCTAGCATTTTGTATCACCAGACAGATTAAACAGACAGGTCAAGGTAAGGTAAGTGCTTCCGATCATGCATTACTAAGTGTAGGATTTGCTTAATAAAGTCCCAATAAATTACATTATTGGTGTTTATAATTTCCGAGAAGTGTTAACACTTTTGCAAGGCACAGAGCAACGGTTTACAAAACAAATTTAAAGTAGTTCACTAAAAATAATAAAAAAAACTTTTCTGTCCCCCAAATATAATTCTTGGGACAGTTATTAAAATGCTGAAAATATTTATTTCAGTTATTATTGGTCACATTTGAAAAAATAGGTATGCTGTCATTATAGTGTTTAACCATTATTTATGGACTACATATTACTGCAGTGGCTTTCTCAACGTAATGCTCGGTGCTTTGACGGTGCAAAGCTGCACGGTTGAAAAACCATTGAGCTGGTTTGCACATTAACAACAGACACTGAGGCGTGAAACATTGTTCCCAGAAACTTTCTGCAGACAACGTCGAACATCTTCCTTGCACGTTCCTCTCTGTAAGCTGCCAGAAACTTTGATGTCATTTAGTGTAGAGAGGTGGGAAAGGCAGCTCCTCTGTGGGTTGCAGCCTTGGAAAAAAAAAGAGAAACACGATTTATGGGCTACACGGATGAATAAAAAAATAAAATAAAATTGTCTGTTGTGTGAAATTAAATGATTGTTCACAAGTAAGCCATATGTTAGATATGAGCTGTGTGAAAGTACAACACAGGCGACGTCAACCCCAGGGGTCTGACAGGCAAAAAATATATATTTTCACCAGTTGTCAGGGCTCCAGCGAGTGTCCAGGGCCTCCATGATGTGGAAGGTGTAGACGTGGCGAGAGTCTTCAGAAGTGTTTTCAGCACTTTTGTGCACCACTTCCCCGTGAATCAGAAGCGCACCACCTGAACACAAAAAAAATAATCTATTATTTCCAGGTGAACAATGTAAAGGCCTCAGTCCATTTGGAAATGGTTAGTAATTATGATTGCAGATGGAAATTGGCCAATCCATGCAGATAAAATATAGGCGGCACTTCAATAATTGTAGCAAAATCTTATTGTAGGCACAAGGAGTAAATAAGTATTTTGACGCTTTAACAAATCAGACCCCTTTCCCTCCATACGCCTTTATGTCATCCGAACACGGTCTCTTTGCCTCGTTCACCTTTTTTAACAGGTGCAGCGACAAACTTGTCCTCATCGAAAGTTGGCTCCCTTCCGATGAAGTCTGTCAGCGGGAAGGTGCCTTTCGGGGTGCGCACCATTCGACGGGAAATACCGCCTGAGAAAATAAAGTGGCGACATGATGAAATTCACGAAAAGACAAATGCACCAACAGATAAATTGTCCAGTGTTGTACTCACTACTCTGTGATCCCGGTATGAACCACAAGCAGCCGTTGTTGACAGTCGCGTCCTCCAGAGCGATCCACAGCCCCATCACTCTGCCCAGGGGCTCCGTGTACAGAAACGTGGCGTCCTGGTGCGGCGTCACTGTGCAACACACAATGACCGACTGCAGACTTTAAAGTTACATTTCGTCATATCATGAGGGACCGTTGTGACTCCCCACTGTCACTGAGTGTATAAGACAATGGTCACATTTCTGCATTATGTCTGATTTACTGCATTCTGTTTCGGTGACACACGGTGCCGTAACAGGCTAAAGGCACTTTGTTTGGCTGATTTAAATTTATATGTATCAGTTTTGTCACACAGCGCGACACAGCGCATTTTAAATACCTGGAATGCAGAACGGGATTAAGGGAAACTCTTGGGATGAATCAGATTATTATATTTGCATCATTTTATTGCATTCGGATGCTTTTACCTTTAATGATGTAGCAATAACATAATTTCATCATTTTGAATGCCACACACTGCTTTCTCCTATTTTTAATTTCGGCAAAAACATGCGCTACGTAGGCCATTAAAATAGCTTAGTCGCTTTTATTATGAGTAAAGTTTCTTTGGAGGCTCAGAAATAAAAGATTCAACTAAATATTATCTGCTTTTTCTTTCATTATGACTTTTTAAATGAAAGCTCAAATTGGAATTAGTAATTACAACCTGGGCTTATAAATGAACAATTCTTTACCAGCTTCAAGGAAAGCTGTTTTTTTGTCCTGACCGGCTGATGAAACAGTTAAAATCACAACAATGAAGATATGAAATTATTAAGTATTCATAATATTTCTTCTGCTTTAATCAGAGCTTGTGCTCTGGAAAATCCTGGAGCCAGTATGATCACTCGTTGTACAATTTGAAGTTATAATATGTTTATCATATTCCTTTCTCTGGTGATAAATGAAGAAATAAAAGCTTTCTTACCTTCGCCACCAATTCCTGGTTGCTGGAGTAGAAACAACAATGAATGACTTCTCAATGCAGTCGTGCACCATTTGCTGTGTAATGCTTTAAGATAAGACACATCCTTTACCTTAAAAATGTACATACTCTGCAGTATCACAGGATTAACCAGGCCCAGTTTCTTGGCTATTCCCTAAGAGCACAACATTTCATTTAAATGCTGATTATTCTTTGACCTTTCTCTGATATTGTATGACAGCTAACTCACCTGAACCTTGGGTGAATGTGTAACTTTCTTGTACAAAGATTCATACGCATGTAGGGCTAAAAGGAGAAAGTGTCTGTCATCGTGTCAACAAGGGTATTTTATTTATTTGCTTTGTTTTTGGACATGAATAAAGAAATCGGAAATTTCTTACCATGCCCAACTTTATTGAGGGACCGCTGCTTCGGTACGATGAATTCCCCTGCAGGTCAAGACACGCTCCGGTTCACGTGGCTTTTCATTACTCGTTAAATATTTGACAGGACAAGATAGGGTTTCACCAGAGCTCACCTTTGTCATCAAAAACACCCTTCTCAAAGAAAAAACGGATCTTATCTCCACTTGTGATGAAATAATCCGCATTCCCCTGCAGGACGAAATATTAACAGCAGTCAACTGATGCATCAGAGGTGAAAGGCCCCCATTTGGGGCAAAGGTACACACTGAGCCTTGCAAAATCAGTTATATCATAACCACAAACCTTTGTATAGTTTGCTGGTATTTCGTACGACAGACCAATAGAAAGTTGTGTGTAATTATGACATGAAGGAAAAAAAGTTTTTCTCAATTGTTAAAAATAGAAAAATCTTTAAAAAACAAAAAAAGAAAGTGTAGCAAAGATACATACTAAGTCAATATTTTTGAAGAATCGGCTTTCGCTGCAATTTCAGTTGCAAGTATTCATGATGCTAGTGTTTCAATGTTTTCTACTCCCAGAAAAACAGGTCAAAGTTCACGACTGTCATGCGTTGTAGCTGCGTTTGCCAGACACTAACCGTGACGGGACTTTCTGCAGCCCTACCTGCATCTTTCACACCGAGATGCGACGGGAAGCGTGCGAGAAAGAGAACCAGGTTGAAAGAGCTGTCAAGAGCTGCCAGAGGGTCAGCATGTGTTTCTGACCAAGTCACCTGCGTTTTTAGCTGCTCGTCGTGGTAGGTGGAGAAAGTGGTCCGGCAGTGGTCGGGGACGTCCATCCGGTCCACGATCTCAGCCATTCTCTGCCTCAGCTCATCGCACTCCTGAGAGGTCAGCAGCCCGTCCAGGACCACATATCCATCCTGCTTGTACTATAAAAAAATAAATAAATAAATGAGGTGTGGAGATGAAGTTTTGCACCTGACATTTGATTTTTTTTTCCTTTAACAGACACAGTTAAAAGTGCATTTGCACAATAAATATTTAGATTTATATATCAGAATACATTTTCTTGATGGAAAAAAAATCATTCTAATTCTGATTAAGCTAATTTTATAAAGACAGTACAGACTTGAATAAAGTTTTAACTGCTTTATATCACAACCACAAGGTTTTTCCAGATTACAGCATCTTCTAAAAGTTGCAACCACTTTGGTAAATTATTTATTTTAGATTTTTTTTTCTCTGTTTGTTTAAAACTTAATTTGAGTTTGTTTCCAGTTGCAGTGGCGAAACTGTGCACAAACAAATATGATGCGAATACCAACCAAACTGTGGTGAAAATAACTGATTCAGCATCACTGTGAAAACTTGACGCAGTTTTTAGTTGCGTTATGTAACCATCTGCGCCATCTGGGTTGCGGAATATGCTACTTTTAAGACATCGGTCGCTTAATGTTGGCGATTAAACGTAACACTGACTCATCTGTTGCTCTAAAACAGTTTGGCCAACATGCTGCAGCCATAAGCGGCCTCTTCTGGGTGCAGGATTCTTACGTAATGTTCCCAAACATTTGCACTTTTTTCCCCCTTTTTTGCGCAGGAAGATCCTGGCAGAAGGCATCATCCTGAAGTTTATTAGAGTGTTTCAGAAAGAGTTGTAGCTTCAGCAGTTTTGTTTTGTTCAAGTAATACAAATAAATAAATGAAATGAAATCCTCACCTTTCGCACGTCTTGATCTGTCATAAAATCCATTATGATCTACTGGGAAGCGATCCGTATGTGTGTCACCTTTATCATCCGGGTAACCAGCAGCCTGAACACGTGAGCTGTCAAAACCAATTTAAACGCAGTAGTGTAATAGGATTTTGCACGTTTAACTCTTTCCTTGCATCACAAGGCGACCAGCAGCTTGAGCCTTGTGTCGGTGTAGTGGCACGGTCTGGCCTCTGGGTGTCGCTAACGTGACATAAAGCACATAGGAATAAAATCGAAAACTCTCTGGCGATAAGTATATATATAATATATATATATAAATATATATATATAATATAATATATAATAATATATATATATATATATATATATATACATACATATATAGTGATTGTGTGTGTTTCTTTGCCTGATAAACATGCCTGATAATTATGAAAAAATAAAAACTTCATCAATCCTGTATGAGAAACACTCTTAAAAAACAGAACTTTGTACATAAAATTAGTCTTAATTATCAGAAAATGATTTTTTCTTTTTTTGGGGGGAGGGGTGGACGGTTACCAAATTCCCAGACCTAAATCCTACGTCCAATAATGCAGCTTGCAGTCTCTGGAAAATCTATATGCTGTGGAAAAGGGAATCATTAAAAACCTTTCTCTGTTTGTACCAAACTATTTCAGATCAGATGAGATTAGATAAGAACTATATTTGCCCATTTTGTACATGTACAGGCCTCAATGTGAGTGAAAGATCGTGCTAAAAATATTTTTCTGCTCAAAAAATGATAAACTTTACGGCTCTACAGCTTTCCCCTCACTTTTAGAGCATCGACATGAAGCTATCTCATAATAAGACAAGGGCAAGCTAAAACATTATTCTTTAATTCTTAAGGACTTTATGTTGTAACCTTCGATATGCTCCTATCCCCTCATGATTACCGGAAGTGTGTAAGAGTGGCGTCTCAGCAATTTTTAACTTCTGCTTGAAACAGGGATAAGCCCAGATGACGGATTAAAAGTCAAACACAGGAAATAGTGTTAACTGTTCATTTTATTATCATGTGTACAAAAGTAGGATCTGAACATTCGCCGTTACAGACACTTTAAAAAGCCAGTGTTTCATTCACTTGGCAAAAACTGTCATCATAAAGGCATTGTCACGTATGATCCAGACAAAAATGTGTCCATTGAGCTTGCAGTTTATATTCAAAGAGACGGTTTTCGAAGGGTTAATTATGTCATTTTTAGTATGGCTATACTGCACATCAGTTTAGCTTGAACGAACCCATGCTTTATTAAGAAGTCACATGAAGAAAAATAAAAAGTAACAGTTGTTTTCTTTTTTTGGGTTTTTTTATTTTTTATTATTTGTAATTCCCTGATCTACAGGCATCAGAATACAGAAATAAACTCACTGTAGATAGCAAATACAATCATGTATTTAAAAGGTACACAGACAGCCAGAGATTAAATGAAATCATGGCAGTTCAGCACTTAAAAAAAAAACAGAAAATACTTTTTTCTTCAAAAATAAGTTAATACTGGAATTATGAAGAATTAAAATGAAAATGTGACCACCTCAAAATGTAAAAACACACATATTTTAGGAATTAAGAGATGTCAACGCAGAAGGCAGAGGTCGCCTTCGCTTCCAGTTAAGATTGTCGTGAGCTGATTCTGGTTCTGTTCAGCCGTGTCAGCATATCCATGCACGAAAAAATAAAAACAAACAACAAACAACAAACCTGGAGACGGTTTGCTCTAACCGTTGATGTGGAGCTGAACCTGTGAAACTTAACCAAGTAAACGCTCACTCATTCACCATGCTCTTTCGCTCAAACAAAATCACTTAAGGCAGACAGAACATATACACAGGGCACCTTTTCAGATAATGTTTGCACTTTGAAAAAGGCAGACGTTAAATTAAAAACTTTTAGCACATTTGCACAGATTGACGGCAAAGCTTTTAAATGGCTTAAATAACTCTTAAAAAGAAATGGGCCGCCCATGCGAGTTAAACAGAAGTGCTTGACTTCACTTCCCTTGTTTCTGTTTTTTAGTTTTCCACAAGCATCTGACTGACCTTAACTCAGACCTTCACCTGATTCGCAAACGCTGACATGAGGGGAACGGGAGCTCGCTGCCATAAAAAGCATGACTCAGAGATGAAATGACGTCTGTGCAAAGCTCTGGAGGTCAGAGAAACAAAGGCATGCAATACAGAGAAAGGTCTAGTTGAGGAAATCTGAATCAACCGGAAGGGATAACCTGGGAAAGCTTTCTGTGACTACCTTAGCACTGAACAGTATTTTTTTTAACGGAGGACGAAATGCAGATTAGATATTGTCGGGTGACGTTAAAAAGTACTAAAGAAATGACAAGCTATACAACAAAAGCTGCGACTGCGTTTTAATTTGACACTCTGCAGGAGGCTGCAGAAGGGAAGGCTGCACTGCACCACCTTAATGATCGCTTACAATATCAAATTTACTCTGGAGTGACATAGACCAGCGTTTATGTCACTCCTACATCCTCTCCCTGTACACAGTCACTTACAGCACAACTGTAGCTCTTTGTGCTATAGGGGAAAAAATGCTTCTTCATCTGCTTGAAGGGCTTCAGTCTTGACACCGCAACACGCAACTTTTTCCAAACAATCTTCAGTCAGAAACCTCCGTGTTTGTCGTTATGATTTGTCCACGTCACGAAACTGGCTTGGCAAGCACAGAGCAATCGATGAAAGGGGCACAGCAGCAACCATGCAAATGATGGTGCTCTGGTCTCATTGGACCAGAATTGAACTTTCTGGCTCACATGCAAAAACACAATATGTGGCAGAGAACGAACACTTTACATCACCCTCGACTTGGGTGTCACGTTATTCCAGCTTCCAGCATCCAAGACTAATTTAACTGAGCAGATCATCTTACACAGGTAGCCAGATCTGTAGTGGAACAGTTTACATAAGACAAAAAACAACAACAAAAAAAAACAATCATAAGTTAGAATAGGCTAATCATAGTCCGGAACCAAAGTACATCAGAGAAAATATAAATGCACCCCACACTTTTCAGATCTGTTGAGTAAAAACCTAAAAACCATCCTTTTCCTTCCAGTTCGCAGTCATTCTCTACTTTCAGATACTTTGTTGTTTCTGAATCTCATAAAATCTGAAAGAAACACATTGAAATTTGAGGATGAAACATGATGAAATGTAAAGCAATCTGTTTTATAAGGCACTGCATTAAAAATTATTTAATAGTCTGTCTATAGCACACTCATTAGGATGGATTTGTCACTAAGACAAACACAATTTGAATCTTTCTCTTGTGTCTCCTAACACCTCACACATAACACTCAAAAGTTTCATAGATATATATGAAATAGATTTCACCCACTCCATTATGCAAGCATTTCACCTGCGATCAGCAGCATCTAGCCAAGGCCTCGATGAATCAGATTTCACCGAGAAGAAACATTCAGCTAAATGTTTACAGGAAAACCTTCTCTAAATCTCCAAAGAAATCAGAACGTAAGAATGTCAAATATTAAATTTCCCCACTGTGGGACAATAAAAGATATTTCAATTTTATTTTACTGTGTTCTATTTTATCTTAAAGTTCTTCAAGATCTGTTTAACATTTGCAAAACCCTACCTCATTATTAAGAAAAAAAACCAAAAAATAATTTGATTATATGCAACTGCTGTCTGTGTTGTTGTTTTTTTTCAGCTTGTCAAAGTTTATTAATGTATTTACATGCCTAGTTTACTTATTTACATGTTTGTATTGACAAGCATAAAATAAAATAGTTCTTTTGTAGAGATGACCGAAGCACAATTTTGTGGTCAGCTTCCAATCGTTGATTTTCTAAATCGTTCATCTGTTAATACCAATTTCATCCAACTCTGACGTCTCTTTAAACAACTACATTTAAAATGTGCACTTTTTCCTCCCTTCCTTTAGGATAAATTTCAGTAGAGCATTTGGCTGTGGTTTCAAAACAAAGGATACATATTTATGGAGTGGGCATTTGAAGTTGTTTTAAGCAGCTTAAATCAAACACACTGTAAACAGTAAGGTCTGTTTATTTGTAAAAGAAATGGATTCTTAAAATGATTAAGATTTCCAAACCTTCCTAGATGTATTTTTTTTAATCATGGTACTAATATTAAAAATAGCTAACTACATTTTCTCCTTTCTGTAGCAACTTCCACACTGAAGAGAGTTGTTGTCAGCACAAGCTGTTGTGCTTAGGTATTGGATTTTCACTGCTCACTTTTTCAGTCATTTATTGTTTGATAATGGTTTATTAGACCATGTCTAATTTCTCAGATGCAGTGCATAAAAGTGAATCTTCAAAACTGGGATGCACAGATTCAAAATTAATGTTGCTGTATTGGTTAATAACTGTTACTGTGTATGTTTTCTTAAAAATGGCCATACTGCTTGCATTGCTTCTCTGTTTCAGTTAGAAACAAAATAATCCAGTGGTGTGTCACTGTCACAAGCAACAAGAACATAAAATACATAAATTAGTAAAATCAATCCAGTTCAACTTATCAGATCAATACAGGTTGTTGAGTACTTGCTCCCTATTTTGAAAAAAATCACAATAATGAAGTATCTGCAGAAATTATGCAGATATTGCTGAGGAATCTCCAAGCATCTATGACTATACAAAGGCTTTAAAAAGTTACAACTTCAAAGCGGCCGTAATCTTCAGTCAAGTTATTCCTTTGGTTTCAAGAAATTTTACTTTATAGTTTGATCTTTGCTTCTATCGTTCACATGCTGCTGGGCACTGCCAATCAGCTGACTGAAAGATGGCAACAAACACAGAGCTAACTACTTTTCTAAACTATTTTTTTTTTGTGGGTATTCTATGTTTTTTGCTTTAGCCTATAAAATAATTGTATATCATAAATAACAATCGCATAGCTTTGCCATATCTTTGTCTTTATAATGTTGTACCAATAGCAGAAAGCGTTACTTTTCTGTTATAAATTAAAGAAATTATGTTATTTGTTTTGCATAAGGTTACACACTGGGAAAGTCTTCTACCAGCCCATTCCTGTCTCCTACTGTACCTTTAAAAAGCTCAAATCAAAAGAAAAACAGCTGTAAAAAATTCTAAAAAAAAGCATTAAATATTTGAGCTATACATTTTACAACACAACAGAAAAAGCCCTGACGATGTTTGTGATCATTAACAGGATATAGCCAGTAAAAAACTAAGGCTACATTAGCAATAAGAGACATTTGGCAGGAGTAGACGTAAGACATTTTCTCCACATGATGCTATTAAATCCCAGGTCTAAACAAGAAAAGTGTTTCAAGCAGACAAGGCATGCTGCACTAATTTGGAGCATTGAAGGTGGATATAGCTCACTCTCCGATCTCAGTCGACAAAAAACCTGCTTCCCTTGTGGAATCCGGTCGAAACTAGTTCCCTTCATTTTGCAATTTCCTGTTTGTCCTCGGCGGCGTCGTGAATGAATAAACACGCTAGTAACAAATGTCTACTTCTTTCCATGAAGCATGACTATACAGCGAAAGTCTGCAGACAATTCCTCTCTCCTTTGGACGGATTCACGTCCAACATGCTTCTAAAATTAACTTTCCAAGATCTCCAAGATCTCCTGACTGAGCTGTGGTGTGAATCAATATGGCGAGTAGTTTCCATGGTGCTTTTGATTTGCATGATTGACATATATTGGTTTTTCTTCCCCCTTAGAGATTTCTCCAGTTTATGTGTTTTCAACATATTTAAAGGTTTCTGATCGTCAAATATATCTGCATGTGGATAATATCTAAAGTTAGGGTTTCATAGAGTTCTAAATCCTTAAAAAGAATTGTGATCCTTTTCACATAAATATCAAGGATTTTATTTCTTAATCTTGAATTTTTTTCAAATAGGGTATTGTGCAGACTTTTGAGGTCTTCTAACCTACTTCATGTTGTCAAACAGGTTCTACTTAATTTGGGACAAGTGAAAGTCATCCAATATATGCTCAGTCACAATTAATTACAGGTCCATGTTAGTTTTTAATAACTTTTTTCTTAATCAATCATTAAATCCCTGTTTGAAAGCAGCTTTTTGCCTTTCCTTGGTTGATATTTGTCTTATATAAAACTTTCTTTGATAATCTTACAAAAACTAAAGAATTCTGTAAGGGGGTAAGTAAGTTTTCATGACATTGAATACGTTAATCTGCAAACAAATGGAGCTGAATAGTTGGTGCCATAATGTGACTTAGTGTACATTAGAGTTACATTTCACTGTTTAAAGTAAAATATGTTCTGAAATGAACAAAGGTCACTTCAATTATCTGACTAAGTGTACATGTTCCAGAAGTTCGCAGGAAGTGTTCAGTGGGTGGTTCTTTTATTTGCTGAAACTGTATTTCTGAACCCACCTCTGGTTCTATCTTCAGTCATAATACTTTGCCTTCAAATGAATTCAAGCGTTAACAAAATGTTTATATTGTTTGATTCCTTGTTGCACATCTAAGCAAAAATAATACTTGGTGGATGAAAAGAGTAGAAGGCAAATGCGGAAGCCACTTCCACTTCTTCTGGTGCAAGTTACAGCTTGCCACACGAGCTGATGAGATAATTTATAACTGCAGGCTGTTTTTAGATGTAGAGTTTCTTTTTAATTTTTTTGCAATCATTTCCAGCGGCTTTCTCAGAATTAAGGCCGAAGCTGCGAGATTACCTGTGTGATGATTCATTCGTGGTCAGTCATTTTGTGCCCATAAGAAGATGCATCAAAGCATAATGAGATTAAAGAGACGGATGAAAAAGAAAATAAGTTCATGCGTGACTAGATTAGGTTTAAGTCGAGAAACAATTGGCTTGACAACATCTTCAGATACAGTGAGCCACGTTGTGCGACAACTGAAAAAACAAAGGTTCCTCCAAGATATGAAGTCCAGAGGAGGGATGGGCGAATTCAGCATTAAACATGATTCATTTGTGCAAGTACCATGTGCTCAGTAAAAATAAAAAAAAGAGCACAGTTAGCTCGTTGGCAGAGCTGAGTCGTGCAAGGTTGTCCGATGAACAAGTTTTGCTTCAGAATGATCCCACTGTGGCATGCATATTTAACAGCAGCTTCCAGATTCTCGGCAACTCACAATCAAGAAAAGCTTACTAATTAATCGTATGTGTGGATGTTTCACTTTCTTAGTTGTATGATCCTGTCTGCTCCCTAAACAGACAAGCTGTCAGTTTGCTTTTGCCTTCATGGCCAATGCAGCTGCGTCTCTATTTAAGGTTGTCCTGGCTTCAACAAGCCTCTTTAAATTTCTCACCAGTATTTAAGTTTTGGCTCAAACTTGCTCCTTATCGGCCCTCCACAGATGCTCCTTGACTTCCGTCGGCAGCGTGTTGAACAGGTCTTCCTCCACCACCAGGCCGCTCTTCTTCAGCAGCCGGCACTCGCCGAGCTCCACAGGGAGGCACTCAAGACGATTGCCCCTCAGCTCCAGCTGGGTCAGCCCGGTGAGTTCCCCGAAGCGCGACGGCAGCGTCTGCAAGCAGTTGTTCCCCAGATTCAGAGTGCGGAGTTTCTTGCACTGAAACAGCTCTGGGGGCAAAGTCTCAATCTGAAACAGAGAGATTAAAAAAGTTGTTGCAAGAGAAGTAACAGTAAGGCCTTGCTTGAACGTTTTCATATTTTGTTGTGATACAGCAAATGCTTATAATGTGAAAACACAAGGACTGTGTATGACTTTGACTATACATTGTTTTAATGTATTTTTGATACTGCACCATTATTGTCTTAAGATTTCCATCTTTAAGACAGTCGAGGTCAAGACCTGAAACTTGAAGAAGTTTCAGTTTTACAAGCAAAATTTCAGGGTTCCCAAGGGTGAGTGTTAAACTTTTTAAGTCTCATTTGTAAAACAAAATGAGTTCAAAACTATGCACTACATTGAGTTGGTTCATAACAAGGCTCTTCAAATGGTGGCCCAAGGGCCACAAGAGGCCCAAACCCATTTCCCGTTGGCCCAGACCAAGCTTTTACTAGGAAAAACAATCCACATATTTCATTGAACTCTGTCTACATCCCCCAGAATACTGCACAGTTCTGATTTAGATTTGACTGAAATTACTGAACATTTTATTACTGTACTTTCTATAGATGCTGATTTATTGCCCAGAGCTAGTTTACGTAACTGTAAAATTTAAAGCAAAACACTGTAGATTTAACCTCGCTTGAACTGACAAATACTTATCTATTTTACCATTGCATCCAAATACAAACGTTAACTTTTGCATATTGTAAAAAGGCCAAAGATAATGTCTGTAGTTGTTAAATTTCTAGCCCATCTTAACATGTGATGGATTAGCCCATATAATCCCCGTGAGAATTCATAATCTGAGCAGTACAAGGGGTGTAAATACTTTTGCAAAGCAGTGATTACATTAGTAAGCAATAATACACAAAAAATCCAGCTGTTTCTACTTCATGTCAGAATGAAACACAAACCAGACAGGAAAACAGGCACTGTCAAAACAAGATAAAAGGCTCCTTGAAATGCAGCCTGCCTCTTTGAAGTCTCATTAAGCATGTAATTCACAACCAAAACAAGACCTAAAAAATAAATCCAGTGATATATATTTGTATTTATAATGTTCTGATTGCTCCAAAAAGTTGATTCGCCTATTTAATTTCAAACAAATCACAGCTAAAATAGATGACATTACCACAAATTTCACCGTTAAAGCCTGTTTGCATCTAGTAATATTCTGAAAGTGTAAACAAACTAAAAGAAGAAGTAGAAAGGATTGGTCCTGAGTTATTCGTGGCTGCTCACAGACCTGCTGGAGGTTATTTTCAGCAAGAAGCCACTCGAGCCAGCGCAGTAAAACAGCAGTAATAGTAGTGTTAACTGAAAACACACCATGTTGTTTGCACACGGAGCTCAAAGCAGCATTTCTTGAGAAGGAATCAGATCATTTTTTATCTGAATTCTGTAACTGCATTTTAGAAAGTTAGATTTTTAAATCAAACGATTCATTTATCATATGGGATACCAGGGGCAAAATGACAGGAAAAAAACAATAATGACAGTGTTGTAAAAAAGTGTTATCTTACCTACAAGTTTCAAACCATAAATTATCATTTAATTTCATGATTAATTCTGCTTTTTTAAACCATACAGAGGTTGACTTGATTGTCTGCTGGCATAAATTGTCCTGGTGTGTATTGTAAGTTTTTTGTCTGTATTTTCTGTCAGGATTTTCTGGTAGTGAGCAGCATTCATGGTTACATAAAGTATGTTAGACTGGCAAACCTAGAAAAAGCAAAGTCATCCCAGATCATCACACTTCAGCCATTGTTCCTTTTTCTGCAATGCTGTCTTAGTTTTAAATCCAATGTAACTGGAAGCACACCTTTCAAAATAGTCCATATTTGTGTCATTAGACCAAGAAATGTTTATCTTGGACTAATAATGATCATCAATATGGACTATGGCAAATATGATATAGGTCTTTGTTTTCTTTTTGCTCAACAGTGGCTTTGGCATTTGAAGTCTCCAATGAAGACCATTTTTGCCCAGTCTCTTTCTTGTTTTTCAATCATAAACTCTAACCTCCACAAAATAACTTGAGGTCTTAAGCAATTTAGATATCGTTCAGAGTTATTTTGTGTCCCCCGAATGAGTCATTTATTTGCTTTTCAAGTTGTTTTTGAAGGCCAACCTCTCCTGGAAAGGTTCACTACTACATTTGTTTTCTCCATTTCTGGATAATGGCTCTCACTGTGGTTCGCTGGAGTCGTAAAGTGTCAGAAATGGCTTTAACATGTTCTACGAGACTGATTTCTCCATTCTGAACTTTTGTGAAAGTTCAGAAAACAACCAAAGTGATTAAGGAAAAATAATGTCCTTAATCACAGTTCCTCACTCTTTCTGGGTCAGGTTAATCTGGATAGTTGTCATTTAAAAACTGGAAGGGAAACTGCTGAAAACTTTGATAGCAAGTAACTTTACACAAAATCTTAAATTGGATAAATAGGAATGTTTCAGCTTCTTACCCTGTTTGCTGTCACAGCGAAATACTGCAGGTTTTGGAGGAAGCCGATGTCTGGGTGGATGCTCGTCAGATTGTTGTGGCTCAGATCCAGGAAGCGCAGCTTGCGACAGAAGAAGAGCTGGCTGGGAATCTTCTCGATCTTGTTCCTGTTCAGGTAGAGCCTCTCCAGGTTGGTGAGCGTTCCGATCTGGATGGGGATGTAGGCGATCTGGTTGTACCAGAGCTTCAGGCACACGAGGCGGTACAGGTGCTGAAAGCTGATGATCTCCTCTATCGTCTTTAGGTTGTTGTCCTTCAGGTCGATCTCCTGCAAGTTGTGCAAGCTGAAGATGGAGTGCGGGATGCGCTCGAGATCACAGCGAATGAGCTCGAGCTCTGTCAGGTTGACCATCTTCTTGAGGCTGTTGAGCACCATCAGCTTGGTGCCCTCGTTGTTAATGGACAGCTTCTGAAGGTGCACGCCCACGTCGGTCACCACCTGAGGAAGCTTGGTCAGGTTGCTTTTCAGACGCAGCACTTTCAGGCTCTTGAGCTCCCGGAGCCCGTCAATCACGATGAAGCGATTGTTCTCAGCGCTCAGGTTTCCGGTCAGGTGCAGCTCGCTGAGGTTCTTCAGGCTGTAGATCCACAATGGGATCTCCTTAATATCTGTGAACTTGATGTGGAGAGACTTGAGATTCTCCCTTAAGAAAGCCAGAGCTGGAGCTTCGATTTTAGCTGGAGTGTGGTAAAGCCACATCTCCCTCAGGTTGGTGAGCTGGGCGATGATGGGGGGTATCGTCACGTCCGGGATCAGCTCCAGCTTCAGGACCTCCAGCTCCACCAGATCAAACACTGTGTCGGGGATACCGCTGAGCATGAAGAGATGAAGCTCCAGTTTCTCCTGGGAGTTCTTGGTGATTCGCTGCCTCAGCTTCTCTAACGTCCACTCGTTGTTGAGGTTCAGCTGCCTCAGCTTGTTCTCGCTGACCTCTGACAGGAACACGGCAAAGCGCTTGGAGTACAGAGGGTCATACTGATCTATCATGTGTAGCATAAAGGCAAAGTCGTTCTTAAGGTCAGGGATGTCACTGTAACTGCTCTCCTCGCGGATTGACTCAAAGGAGTAGCGTTTGAGGGAGCGCCTCACCATCCAACAGAGCGTGTACATGCAGATGAGACCGTAAACTATGACCAGGCTGATGTAAAAACAGGCCAAGATCTTGAAAAGAGTCGCCAATGGATGTGCACAATGAAACAGACGGTACCCTGTCAGTTTCTCCATGTTCACTGAGCACACCACACTGAACTTGATGCAGCTTACATAATAGCCTGTGTAGCTAATTATCAATATGAACTTGATTACTTTGATGATGGTCTGACGAATGTAAAGGCGGTAGACTATGTCGCCTTCCTCAACGTGAATCCTGAACTTCTTCACTTTCTCAAAAAGCGCCTTGGCCTGCTCCCCTTCCTTTTTGTCCAAAACCCCAGTTTCAGAGCGATCCACGATCCCCTGCTCGATCCTGGACTTTGTCCGCTGGAGCATGGGAATGCTGGCCTCGACATCCTCGCTCACGCTCGACGCCTTCTTATCCATGGAGCCGTTCGTTTTCCCCACCGGTTTGGGGTCGCTCTCCTCCACCACGGTTTCAGACAAAGCCCTTGTTGTCCACGGTGAATCGAAGCACTTGAGGAGGATGGAGACAAAATGTTCCAGTTTGGAGCTCGTGCGTGGGAATTTGAACCAGAAGTTGCTGCAGGCCAGGAAGATGAGAGTGTGGAGCAGCACCAGATAAGGGAAATATTTAGCAAACCAATGCAGCCTGTTCTCATAGCAGACGGCGTCGACATAGTTGTACTGGTGTCGATCCAGGTCGTACTGAATGCCTTTTGGCACTGGAGCATAGGCGCCTGTCGCATTTGGCATAGCATCGCAAGTGTCGTTGAGGATCCACTTGCAAGGCAGGCAGATCATCTTGTCCTGCGTGACCTGAAGCGTCCCGCCGAACACCGCAATCATCAGCATGATGATTGAGATGTAGTCGGTGAAAACGTCCCACCATGGCTTCAGGATGCGGTATGTTGGCTGGGTGTCAGCAAAGTACCGAAGTTCTGTGATGGGAATCATGATGGTTTATCTGTCAAAGCAGAAAAACAAAAATATCACTTATTTGTATTTGTTACGGCACAGAGGAAATGCACAATTTGTTCCTCCAAAATTGAAAACATTATCAGGGAAATGAATCTCAGTCCTAGCTTTACACAACATATATAACATTTTTAAATATAGATGAAAAATAAGGTCCAGTTTAAGTATTATCACTTAGGTAAATAAATTATGCTGGACAATAAATTGTCCCAGTATTTATTGCGATAAACGATAATATTGTTGATAAAAAAAATGGGATCATTTTCAAGTAATATATTGTTAATAGCAAAATAATGCATTTTCTTCTTAAAGATGTATTTGTACAGAACACTAAGCACTGGACATGGAATATTTCACACATCCAAAATAAAACACAATTGACACCAATAAATAAAGTGGAAATAAAAATCACTATTTTATTTCTCATCCGTTCAATTGATTAATTGCTTATTGCGACTGACTTACTCATAGAAACATCTTCATATGCGTCTCCTACTTCAAACATAAAACTTTTTGCCATATAATTATGTATCACGTAACAATCATGTAGCTTCTTTTGCGCTTCAACAATGTGCAGTATGCAACAATATGCAAATTAGCTAAGTGTTCATTTTGTTACATCAAATATTGCTGCTGTCTGCTGAGTTATGATAACAAGAGAATAGGAGATACATTTATTCAGTCACCCTAAACAAAATTACTTTAGCCAAGATCCAGGTATTTCATCATAATTATTAATTAATTTATAGTTGTAGCTTAATGCAAAGTTGTGAACTCGCTGAAAAAAACATGGCTATTTAGCAAAAAAACTTTTAATAAATAGTCCACTTGCATGCTGAGCAGTTTTTTTTTGTTGTTGTTGTTTTTTTTAACATTACCACAATGTGTTGTAGTTGCTGCATCAAGAATTCAGGAAATTGTGTAAAATTTTTAAGGAAGGGTATCTGAAGGACAGCAGCATTGAACAACCTTAAGTTTTTCAGGTTGTTCAGCCTATATATTTTTATGTACATAATGCAAGATTTGATTTTCTGATACAATTCATGATGAGCAATCAACAAATGTTAGGCATTACACTCCAAAATATGTACTGTCATCCTCACACTCCGTGCAGAACGTACATGATAGCGATTGTCAAACTGGATACAGATACCTGGCAGACAAACTGAAGTTCAGACAATTTTCAAAATTAGCTTCTTTTCCTGAAATAATGTTCAAGTTTTGGACGTTTGTCTTTATTCAAAACCCCACTTTCCCATCTTAGAAAAATCCATGGACCTTCAGATGAGCTCTGTCAATCAGGTAACTCTCACTGACAAATCAGAGCTAAGAAAAGATGCTGATATGACATCAGGAAACTGTTTAAATAGAAAATGACAAACTTTCTATTCAAAAAGGAAATGAAACTATCATGCTGATGACAGCTTAAAAAAAACTGCAAACTTTTTCCCCTGTTTATGACTGGAAGACAACAAGGAGGCTTTGCTAAGCAAATGAGAAATGCAAGACTGTCAGAGAGCTACCAATGCCAAGATGCCAACAATAAAATCTTACAGTATATTTATTTTAACTTTCCCAATATCATTAACGCCATTATAACTAATATTTCCAACGTGTAAGACCTGCTTGAGCTTAATAAAGAGACATATAAAAAAGAAAAGTACACAGATAGATTTAGTTCTCCAGATTCTGCCTGATTTGTCTTTAAGAATTGTAACATAAAATATATGAACAGCATTCAAAATATTATTCCAGCAGTCCTGCAATAAGTAGTGATTAATTATTTATATAGCAAGCAGAGGCAACTTTACACCAGATGAGAGACAAAGCACTAACAATGTTTTACTCTTAATTTGTAAAAACAGACAAAATGGTTACAGAGTTACTCTGAAGATTTAAGCAAAAATAATTCAAATTCAAAAATACCTCATTGATCCCAAAGGGAATCAATGAGTCATTCAAAAAAGTATTGTTGACCTATTCTAGCCAAATTAGGAGTCACAGAACCTTCTATGTTAGGCTTCACTTCCCAGCAGCTGTTAAAATAGCCTCCAATAAGATAATTCACATGGTATTAAACAACAAAGCCGATTTTGTGACACAAATGGGATTTATACTCCAGAGCAATCCTAAGATTATAACTACACGTGACACTGCACACAACATTAGGAATGTTTACGCTGACAGTATGCCACACACTTGATAAAGGGAACGAAAGCGAGCGATTGTCAAACTGGAATAAATAAACTTTGTAATTAAAGATGCAAAAAGTGGCCTGTTGCAAGAATGTACTGATATGTTCATGTAAACTATAACAAAAAGGTTGTGTGATCTAAAAATGTATGATATTATCACAGTCAGCTTGTTACAAAATGGGACATAAAAATAGATTTCGTCTGGAAGAGTCCTATTGCAATCTGACAATATTCAGATATTCAGATAGATAAATTAATCTGACAATATTCACACACTGAAGGGTGTGTTAGTGTGTGTTCGGTAAGGGTGTGTTAGTGTGTGTTCGGTAAGGGTGTGTTAGTGTGTTAGTGGTGACTGAACACCCTTCAGTCACCACCAGCTTAATAATTTTGTTATTTGTTCCCGCTCCTTTCGCTGCGACCTAAGCAGCCCAAAGGAAGATGACATCATAAGTGTGTTCAAAAGGAGAATGTCAGAACTGGATTAAACAGTCGCTCTGCTCATGGATCTATTGGTGCATTTCTTCTAAAATAGTTTCTTAAACAGAGCAGCTATTGTCCAGGCTGTGCTCCGCAGGCTAAAACCAAGACCAACCTTTAAAGCAAACATGTTTTTTTTGTTGTTGTTTTTTACAATTGATCAATTTCACTTGTCTACAACAGTTACAATTAAAAAATTAACTTTTTGTTTTTTATATATTCAAATTGTATGAAAAATATTTCATTTATTCCAAAGGAACAAAAACATTGTTTGATGGTAATGCTGATGCTGAAGGCAGGAAAGATCTCCAGTGGAAGTCAGTCTGGCAATGACTGAAGAAGGCCTCTGACTGAAGACATTGTTGCTCTATGACAATCTTAGAGAGCAATATGTTGGTCAGTACATTGCAAGAGTTATGAACTTGCATTTTCCATGCTAAAATAATATTTGGCCAGTTGGGCAGAGTGTCATGGCAGCAAATGCAAACACCAGACCAAAATGACAATGCTCCAAAATGCTAAAGGTCACAGAGTGATGGAAGCACAGATGAGGAATTTTTTTTTAATGGGAATATGTTGCCACTGATATTGTTTACGCAATATTCACTAATATTATCACCATCATAAAATATTTAAAATATTATAATTGTTAGCGAGCACTGCTAGTCCATCTCATTTGCTTTTGCCGCTCCTCTATATATATATATATATATATATATATATATATATATATATATATATATATATATATATATATATATATTATATGATGCATATCATATAAGATGTAATATATCATATATCTTAAGATATATGATAGAGCAGCATATAGTACAATATAATTCTAAGCAAGATGGAAATCAAAGCATTGTTTTTTTTCACAAATGAGATCCTAAAATGTTTGATGTAAGTCTCATTTTTAAACTCTAAAGACCACATTTTTTCTGTAAATTTTTTCTCTGCAAAATTGCACAGGTTCAAACACACTGGCAATATGCCAGATGTTGTCATTCTTCCTGCATGCTATATAAAATGCCATATAAGTAAATAACTACAGTAAACAGGATCTCTTCTGGAAAACATCTTAATCAAAAATAGTTTTCATTGTTAACATTCAGTAGCACAAACATGCTGAATAAATAACGCCAAGAGGGAGGATTTATAAGCAACCTTTAGGCTTCACTGGAAATGGTTTTGGGTTCTATATCTGATTTTCCATATCAGAGCCTAGTTTTGCTTTTAAGTGTTTTTCCGTCAGTTCAGGGTTCAACTGGCAGCCTCTGTAAGGGTGTACATCTATTTGCAAGGAAACCATAAAGGCACAGGATTCAATCTAGCTGAACAGGAAATGCGGTTAGGAGAAATGCATAGATTGAGAGACGGACGAATGCCAACATTCCTGGCACTTACAGTAGGCTTTGAAGCTCATTTATGTAAAGCACAACTGTTAACATTTTTCCCAACAACTTCAAACTAAGTGTTTGGAAACACCCAGAGGACCCGAAAGCATCATCGGCACCGCTTTCTCACTCCTTGACACCACATCTGCAGAGTTCCAGAAAGAGGCTGGGGTTCTCTGTGCACAAGTTCATTTTGGTTAACTCTCTTCTACCAGTTTCACATGTCGTTAACATGGCTGCCTAAAAGGGAATTAAGATGGAAAGCAATGAAAAAATATCGAAACAATAAGCTTTAAAAACCAAGAAGGGCTTCTGCCACAAGCGAACAGATGCTTGATACTGACAACAAAAATCTGGGTCATAAACAGAGATTTGTTGAGCACAGGATATCATTTTCTGATTACTAAACAGAGTTATCGCAGCTTTTAAACTCAGAGCGTTGTGAAACTCTGTAATAGCCCACAAAAAAGAACAGAGACAGGCCTCCAAGGTTTGAACAGACTAGAGTTTCTCCCAAACAGACCACCTCCTCCCCTCCATTCGCCCAGCAGAGTTAGGTAACACACCCTTCAGTCATCACCAGCTTAATAAATTTGGTATTTGTTCTCGCTCCCCCTTGGTTCAGCAGTTTTCAGGCAGGTTAATGTTAACCCCTGTACTTTACATTCATAATAAGTTCAAGCATTACTCTAAATCTTTCTGTGACAGCCCGTTTGATTTATAGCAAAACAAAGAAACTGCAGTGGATCTGTACTTGTTTTGACTCTTACACCTTCCTGTAACATGTTGGTTTCAAAAAATCCTTCATTCACTATGCAAAAGTCCCTGAGCCAGTCTGCAGAGGGAGTTGGATGGAGCATGCAAGATTTTGTATTAACTGGGTCAAACTGGTTCTGACTGACATTTTTTTATGACAGCTCCACTGAGATCATATAACACACAGAGATGCTCATAATACATATCTTGGAACAGAGTAAAATCCAAACTTTAGAAAGCTTGTAATTATATGTTGAAAAATTAATATTAACTTATTATTTACAGAGTAATTTTCCAAAATAGAAAAAAAATATATATTAGAATTAACCTCAGCAAAGCTTTCAAAAATCTCACATATTGACAGGTCCTTCTATGGACTGTTGACTCAAGAAACAATTCTGACCAAGCCAGTCTAAAGAGAAACATCCCCGCAGCATGATGCAGCCACCACCATGTTTCAGGGTGAGGATGGGGTGCGCTGCAGGTGTGTTCAGTTTGTAGCCCAAGAAGTAAAACTTTGGGTCACACAGAGATTACTTTAAATTGGACTTCTAACAACTTTCTATCAGCGTTATCGCTCCACTCTGCAATATAAACCAGATTGGTGGAGTGTACAACAAATAGTTGCCTTATTGGCACATTTGTCAACTTGAGTTGTATATGTCAGCTGCTCCACTGGAGTTATAATAGGCTTCTTGACTACTTTTCTGATTAAAGCTCTTCACACCATTTCATAATAAACAACTAATATCATCTCATTTATTTATTAAATACTAAATGCAGATATGTTATATAATTAAATGTGTAGTTTATCTAAACGACATACCTCAATACTAGCAATATCTAACATACTAATAATAGTAATAGCCTGAGGCAATAAACTAATTACACCTCTATTGTAGCATTAAAACCAGACCTGAGAATGAAGTCTCAGTCTTATTAAGACTTAATTATTTTATTGACAACGTTAAAGACACAATGTATTACAGAAGCTTTTCTTTTTATCTGTTTATAGCCTCCCGAGAATAAGCAGCAGTATGTGGCTGAGCCAAAATAACAAAACACCTCCCTGGCCTGCAGCTGGAAAGAGTTCTTAGTTTTATTTCTAATAAATTACAGGAGAGTTCCGACTCTGGCTATGATCCCATTAGTCAGAATTGGGTGGGGTTTCACCAAAAAAGAGCGACCTTTCTCCAGAACAACAACCCGTCGACCGGAGACGGGAAACGATGTCTCATCCCGACTCCACACGGCAGCGCGCTGCGGCAGTCACAGCTAACTAGGAAAAACAAGACAGAAGGTGGGTGGAAAACTCACCTGTGGTTTTAACACTGGTGTGTCTCGCCTCCTCCGTACACGGGTGACACATTTCTCTATCGGTTCTCAGTGACTGGGGCCGCTCGGACACCAGGCCGGAGCCTCGCAGGACAGCCGAGGAGCAGAGCACAGCATGAAGAGCCGAGAGCGAGCCGAGCAGCGGTGAGTTCACAAAGCAGCAGGAAGTGCCGCAAGCACCCCGCCTTCAAAATAAAAGCACGACTATAAAGAGGGCGCTAGTGTTTACGTCACTCTTTCTGTCTACAAACGTCCCTTGGCTGATTTGCAGTTGTGACTTACTTTTCACATTTTTAAATCTCTGTCTTAGGTAGTCAAAGATTAAATTCTCTGCTTTTGATACATCTAATGTAATTTTAAGACGTTTTAGAGTAAAAAGACCAGTTTCCCTTTATCCATGATGCTCCCGTACCATGTTTCACCGTTGAGATGGTTGAGTTAGGTTTTATTTATAGCTCTTTACATGTAGGTTAAAATAATAAAATTAATGTTTGTCTCATCCTAACAAAACAACCATTTGTTTACGTGTTTGTTGAGTTCCCTCCATGAACTTAGAACATTTTTAAATAAGAGTTATACATCTTTCTTTCTGTTGTGGCTTTCATCAGGCTTTTCTTCCATACAGGTCAGTTTTTGTGGCAGGCAGGCTTAATAGCCTTTAACAATCAAAAGATAGTTGTGACATTTTTGACCTCTTGCTGCTTCTCTGATCAGCTTAGATGATGATCAGCATGTCATGGAATGAAAGGAAAGATTCAGATTTTTATTTGAAAAAAAAAAAGAGTTAGATTGAATGCTCTTTTACTCCCACTTTATGTTTATGTGCTCTTTTTTTATTAGTCTGTAGCATAAAATCCCCAAATAAAACAGTCTACAGTATCTTATCAATTCAGCAGAGGAAAAATACAGAATTTCAGAATTTCAATAGTTTCCCGGTATCATGTATGGGTTCTCTAAAACAACCCCGTAAACACCCTCCATTTTTTTCAACAGGATTAAGCAGGAAGCGCTTTATTAATCTCAGTGAATTTAGCATTTCTTTTGTCATTAACTCCACCTCTTGCTCTAGGAGGTAAAATGAAAAGTTCCAATTAACATTTGCAGTCTGTGCATGCTTTTGTTTACTTCTGACGTTTGGCCTTGTGGGTAGAAAACTTAAGGACATAATATAACACTTATCGAGACGATCGTAATACGCAAACATGATTTGAAACAACCTAAAACTGAAAGAGTATTTCAATTTCGGGAGCCGGAGTTGATGTCAAAATCTGTTTGTCTCCCCCTGGTGGTGCTATGTGGAAAAAAAAAAAATATTTAGCTTTGCTCACTTTCCCTGAACCAGAAAATAAAACATCTTATTTCCTTTATGTAGTCAAATTAGTCTTTCGCTCACAATAAAGTATTGTCACAAAAACTAAACAAGACTGGAAGTAAATCCAATGTCAAATCTTTGTTCCAAGAGTGTACATAGAGCACAAGTCCTAAGCATTTTTAGGCTGTTACAGCAGATGAAAAGACAGAATGTAATGAAGACACACTAAGCATAGATTCAGAAGTATTTCTTTGGTTCGTGTTTGAATAGCCTCTTAGGCGAGTAATTGTAATAACTCCCAAAAATACAAATGGATCATAATCATCTTATGCAAATCAATCCATAGAGAACGTTTGCAACAGTCAAAATGTAACACAGGATGTGTTATAAATGTAAAAAGTAAACCAATAGAGGAGCGAACATGTCAACAATTGCACACACACACACAAAAATGCTAAACTGAATAAAATATTATAATATTGAAATGAATTTGGACAACTGGAATCATAGAATGAGAAATTAAAATATTTTAAAACTATACATTAACCATAAAACAAATAAATATAAATGAGAAAATAAAACACACATTTCATTCAGTCCAAAACATGACTGTCAGGTTAACTGGTCTTTCCAAATTCTCACGAGGTGTGAGTGTGTGTGTGTGAGCATTGTTGTTTGTCCTGTTTGTCTCTGTGTTGCCCTGCGACAGACTGGCGACCTGTCCAGGGTGTACCCCGCCTCTCGCCCGACGCAGCTGGAGATAGACACCAGCACCTCCCGACCCCGTTAGGGAGAAGGGTGATCTGAAAATGGATGAATGGATGGACATTTCATTCACAATGAAACTTAATGCAATAAGCCTGATTAAAAGATTAATAATATTGATGGCCTTAGAATCAAATTAACAAATAAAATATAATTAAATGAAGGTAAAAATTACAAAAAATTTGACAAACAGATACAGAAAGATCTTATTTTTCCTTGATATTCTACTCCAAGAAAGAAAATGCATTGTTTACTACCATAATCTAAGGTTAAAGTTATCTGGCCTTGTGCCTCACCCTTTTGACTAAATGAGCTCTACCTTGACTGATTTGTTGTAGGTGTGTGCTGTTTGTTTTGTACAGCTATGTGCACAAAACAAACTCTAAATTTTGAAAAGTTATGGCGCAATTCACTTAGGGCCAACAAAACACTTATAGTGAAAATTCAGTTTTAAACTGAAACTCTGTTGCCAAGTTTCTAATTGATCATTTCTGAGCAAAATTGGTCGTTGGCAGGAAATAAAGTTACTAGTTCAAAGACAATTAAACCCAACGTTGAAATAGAATTTTCCTAAGCAACATTTAATACGTCAGCAGTAATTTTAACAAAACGTCTGGAAAAATTGTTCTTCTAATCTAGATTAATGTGTTTTGACGTCATTGCATGGCTCTTATTTTGAAAAACCAAGGATGGATGATGTCATCAAAGCGCGTCAATTTCTCCCTGGTTGATGAAACTCAAAAACTTCTGAGTCCTCAAACTCTCTGAAAACAGCAGTTATTATGCTAGTCCTACAAAGATGCCTTTCTTTATTAGAGTTTCCCAGAGGGAGGCTCCCCGCCAGCCTGTTATCGCGGTGTTACCACAGGCGGATTCACGTATCCGGGCCGTGTGTATTATTTCACCGTCCGACCATCAGAACCAGGTTCGGTCTGCTGTCGTCACAGGACCATCATGTCCTACCTGCTCATCCCAGCTCCTTCAGGGGATTCTCAGCTTCGCCGCCAGCCAGAGAGGAAGCTCTGGGAAAGATCCAGTCGACACATTATCATCTCGTTTACACATGCAAGGTAGCACAACTATTCGACTGTGGGTTTTGTTTCTGTCTTGTTTTCCCGAGCTGCGTCCTCTTAAACTGTAGTTTAAGTTTTGTTAAATCTATTGTTGCCTGTTTACCGTAATCCTCTTAAACTGTAGTTTAAGAGGACGCAGTCTGCGTCATTACGTTTGTGTTGAAGATTCGGGCTGTGCCATGTCTGCAGGTTTGCTCCACGAGGTCCATGCAGAGGATCTCTAAAGTGGCCTACCAGAAAGGGGTGGTGATAGTGACCTGTCAAGGGTGCAGGAACCACCACATCATCGCCGACAACCTGGGCTGGTTCTCAGATCTGGAGGGGAAGAGGTTGGTGGAGCTTGCAGGACTTGCACCATAACAAACATGACAAAAGACATAAAGATTCTGAGCCACGCACAGCGCCTCACAAATGTATTGTTCCGTGTTGCTCTGCTTCATGTTTCAGAAACATCGAGGAAATCCTCGCCGCCAAAGGGGAGACGGTGAAGAGGGTTGAAGGAAGCGACGCTTTAGAAATCGTCTTGGAGGAAACGAGCAGAGACTGCTCGCAGAAAACTGACAAAGAGAAAGAAAATGAGCCAGAAACAACATGATTTAACTCAATTGCATTTGCAATTTGTGCTGCTATGTATATGTATTTATATTTACTATGAACGCAACTTTTTGGCCTTTTGACCGTGTCGAAGGAGAGTTAAGAGAAAATATGTTTCAAACCATATTTTAAAAGAAGTTACCAAACCATGGAAACAGATGAAAAGTAAAAGTTTTTACAAATACATTTTAAATATGTGATTTTTCTCCCCCCGAAATATCTACTGCATGGTTATTCCATATGAATAAGCGAGAAACACTCCTGGTGCGTTTTTGGTTACAGTTTTTATCGATTGTATTGTTCTCATGACCAATATGCCTTAAATTCTATTTTATTTCTATAAAAAGCCGCCTCAGACCTTTGGCTCTATTTTATTGTTAATTTTAGTCGGCTTTAATTTTACTGTTTTCTCCCTACATATTCAGGAAAAAACAAACAATAACTTAGTTTCTCAAAAATGAACAAACCAAACTAATATGTTATACATCGGAACGCCGGGTGTTCAAAGTGACCCAGATAGCCTCAATTCTCGCGAGAATGACAGCAGTTGCCGCCGTCGCTGTTTGAGGGCTGTTAGCTGTCGGACACGCTGCCAATTTTCGTTTCTGCTGCCTTAATTGTTGGACTGACTGCGATGGAAGAACTTGGCGTCACAGACGAGGCAGAAAAGCCCAGACATCGACCTTTCTTAATCGGTGTTAGCGGAGGCACGGCCAGCGGAAAGGTAAACTATACGAAACGTAGTTAGCATACCGGTTGTCTTAGCTCGGAATCAGTATTAGCATTCATCAAACTGTCAAAACAGGTGTCACGCCCACTTGTTTAACATTTTATTACGTTGCTAAAACACTCTTTTGTTAAGTCTATTGTTCAGTTGAGCTAGCCATTTTCCTACCCTGAATATTTAGAAGAAAATACAACACTGCGCACGTTCGTAACAATATTGACGTCAGGTCGTAAACTTTGAACTCGAGGTCACGAATGGAAAAGAACAACGGCTTCCAGTCAGGAATATTTTGACTGTCCAAAGTATTTATTGTTTCATGTTTACCGTAATGCATAACGGAATAAAGACACTTTGCTGATATTAAATAATAATAATATATGTAGATATTGAGGTATGTTGTTGCAATGGCCTGGCTAGTAATAGTAGGATAATTGGGATGCATTGTTTACAGTCTACAGTTTGCGCCAAGATCATGGAGCTTCTGGGGCAGAACAAGGTGGACCATCGCCAGAGAAAGGTGGCCATCATCAGCCAGGACTGCTTCTACAACGTGCTGACTCCAGATCAGAAGGCGAAAGCCCTGAAAGGACAGTACAACTTTGATCACCCTGGTAAATAAATCCAGACTTTCACTTTTGCTATTCTATTACACGAGCTCAGAGCAAAGATACGTTTGAAAGTGTGATTGTGAATAAAAATCAGCTGTAATGGAAAATGAATTTATTCTCACTGTTTGCATGTCTAAGCAGTGTATATGAAGTTTAAACACAAAATTGTACTTTTTCTTTAAATTCTCACTTTCTTCTTCAATGCCTTGCAGAGGCGTTCGATAACGAGTTGATGTACAAAACCTTGAAGGACATTGCAGAGGGTCAGCCGGTCGAGGTGCCAACATACGACTTCGTCACTCATTCCAGGTTGAAACAAAAACACGTTATAACTGTGAAGTTGTGACGAAAAACCGCCACGTTCCCTTGTGTCCTGAGAGCTCATTGTTTGTTTGCAGGTTGGAAGACAGGATCACAGTTTACCCAGCGGATGTTGTCCTCTTTGAAGGGATCCTTGTTTTCTACCCCCAGAAAGTGCGCGAGATGTTCCACATGAAGCTCTTCGTGGACACGGATTCAGATGTCAGGTTGTCTCGGAGAGGTACTTCGAGTGCCGATCGCACATATCTGCAAGGTTTCCTTTCCATTTCAAGCAACCTTATTTCTTGTAGTGCTGAGGGACATGAACAGAGGGAGGGACCTGGAGCAGATTCTGAATCAATACACAACATTTGTGAAGCCTGCGTTTGAGGAGTTTTGCCTGCCTGTAAGTACAGTAGTCATCGTTGAGGATGCTCTGTATATTTTAAACTAGATTTCTATGTACTTTTATTGTGTTTTAGACTAAAAAGTATGCAGATGTCATCATTCCGAGAGGAGTTGACAATATGGGTGAGTAATCTTTAAAAATAAAAAATCCCAACTTATATTCAGTATTACCAAGATCGACAGCAGCATTAATAACTTCCTAATTTGTCATTTAGTGGCTATCAACCTGATTGTGCAGCACATCCAAGATATTCTAAATGGTGACATTTGCAAGTGGCAGCGGGGAAACATCAACAGCCATGGCCGAGCCTGCAAAAGGCTGACCTCAGAGCAGAGCGACCTGCAGAACGGATCCACCAACCCTCCAATTAAGAGGGTCCTGCTGGAGCCTAGTAGTCGGCCCCACTGAAACGGAGCGGCTGTAGACGTGTGGGTGGGTGTGTGTGTGTTTGTGTGTATGCGTGAACGGGAACAGATAGGTCCAGACCGTGGAGCTGCAGCGTGAACTGAAGTTACTGTACTGGAATGTAACACACTCTGCAGTTTAGGGTACTGTCAGTGAGTCAATGTTACAGGTACAGATCTTATTTTATTGTAGTTAACATGGTTCCTACAACGTATGGAAGTAACCAGTGTTCCCATAGGCTTTCTTTGTTTTGATTTTTAAAATGGGTAAATAAGCAGTTACTAAACCAGGTCCTATGATTATTAAGAACTTTTTTTTTGTTATGCTTTTGCACTTTTAAATGTGACCATGCAGGCAACTTCTTTGCTACTGTTTGGGTAGTATATTTAAAGTAAATTAATACAAATAACGTGGTTATGTTGACGTACCTGTTCTGGTTTGCAATCGCTTCTTACAGTGCAAAAGTATTCATACTTATTCAACTTACTTGCGTTTTGCCAGATTACAAAGTGATGGACTAAGTAGCGCATGGTGTAGTGAAAGAAAAATTATACGTGGCTTTCAAACCTAATACAAAATCTGACAGGTTTTGTATTCAGCCATATTTACTCTTAAGTAAATAAAATCCAGTGCAACCAGTTTCCCAAGGAAGTCGATCAGGAAATGGTCCACTGGTTTGTAATTTTATGAAAGTCTTAACTGGTCTGTGAAGGCTTCTGAGGTTTGTTAGAGAACATTATTAAAACATTATGGAGAGCAAAAATCTGTCTGTGTTTAGATATTCTAAGATGGTAAAGACATGGGGTGTGGATAGAATTATCTACAATTTTGTTGATCGCATTCGATCCTTTTAGAATACATTTGTGCTTATAGATACATTTAAGGGGTATGAATACTTTTGCAAGGCAAATGGGTGAAAAAAAAACCCCTGCCAGTTTGAAAGCATTTGCTTATATTCTGCCAAGTCTATGCCTTAACTTTTTTTTCACTTTATGAACAGTGTACATCAATAAATGAAACTTCTTTTGAAGGATTTAAGTGTCTTCATTTAAGAAACCAAAGAAACCTGTGCACCCATGGTTTTAGTATAAACAGAGCTTTTTGTTTTATTGGAGTTTGAGAGCACAGTGTGATGTGTTGGGGGGGAAGGAGGGTTGAGGGTTTATGTGATTATTATCCCAAAAAGGATTCCAATGACTTCCTATATAGCACATGGAGTGACACACACATGCACATCACAGAGGACCTCTCACAGATACACACTCTTACACACCGACATGACCGGGACATGATTGCGATTGCTTCGTGGTTCTCTACACTTGAACACGGCACTCCATGATTCAGTATGACGTACATAGATCACAGCATCTTTAGTAAATTTCTTTTTCGTGTTTTTGCCTTTCTTTTTTTTTTTCTTTTTTAGTGCACATACATACGGCACTTAGGAGAAGCTAAGCTCTTCTCATAAGCATAAACGTCCTTTTTAAGAACAAAAGGAGCACTGTATATAATACATGTCATAACCATACATGATTCTTACACACACAAAAAAAAACGTTTCAAAACAAACTGATTCCAGTCCGTAGGGGCCGTCCTGCCCTTTCAGTTCAGTTGCAGCAGATTCTCAGTCGGCAGCCTGCGTGTGCGCCTCACAGTTCGCGGCAGGTTTGCTCCTGAGCTTCTGCTGGTTGAGGACTTGTTAGTGTTGTAGAAGGTGACCAGCAAATGGCACATACATAAGGAACGGGGGGAGGGGAGGAATATGGACCATTCAAATTGTTCTCTCACACGCGACAGCTCCACTCTAAAACAAAGAGTCCAAGGAGCAGACTTTGGTAATTTTCGTAGCGTCTCTCCACCTTCCCACCGTCTGCTCTGACTCCTCGCTCTTCCACTACCAAGTCAGAGCAACAGTAATCCCAAATTATAATCTCCCAGAGCGGCCGGGCTCTTTGTAAACCTCAGTGACATTTCAGTTGTCTGCAGTTTGTTCTGGATTCCTCGCGAGCGAGTCTCCCGTTAGCTTCCTTGCGTCGTTCTTTTAGTGTGTAATAAAGTGGAGTTAGTGTCATGAAGCACAGTTGAAGGTCAGTGTTGAAGGCCTGCTTGGGGGGGACCCTAGGTCTTCTCCCCGCGGTCGGTCTTGGTGCGGCTGATGTTTCGGGGTTTGATCTTCTGGGACAGCTCCCACAGCGCCTCCTCCGCCAGGTGATCGCTGAAGTCGTTGAAGAAAGAGATGATTTCCTCGTTGCGCTTCAGCTCGTAATGCCTGAGGTCAGAACAGGGTAGACAACATCTTTGATACAGATTCGCAATTGGACCTTGGTCTAAACTTTGACTAGATCATTCTAACACATAACTATGCTCTGATCTAAATCAGGGGTGCCAAACTCATTTCATTTTGGGCCATGTCAAGATCAAGAATGTCTTTAAAGGGCCGGTTGTTGCAGAATATATTGTGAAAACTATTAAATTGTTACAAAATGAAAAAATATTGTTTTTATTTGAGTCAACAATTTGATAAATGTTAAACATTGTATCACAATAATGTAATTTGGTCGTATCCAGACAAAAAACGGCATAGATCTGATTATTATAAATAATTATATGTATATTCTTTGAAATTCTTTCTGTGATACCAACATGGTTTGTTACAATTTATAAATGCGATTTCTTATAGTTTTCTTTCAACAAAGGCTTTTTTCTACACAACTATACTTAACTCTACTACAAAGGC